GGGGGGGGGGGGGGGACAGTGCGGCTACCTTTCGAAAGGAGAAATTCCACGGTGCTCAAGTGCCCTTCACAAGCAGCCACCATGAGGGGCGTCCGGCCCTGTTTGTCACTTAGGTTCACGTCACAGCCATGGTCCAACAGCAACCTAACGATCTGAAAGAAACACTCGGGATTACACGCTTCCTGCTGCCCCTTGAATCACGTGCTCTCTACTCGGGATGGTTTTTCCACCTTTCAGAGCAGTGAGAGGACTGTCCTCTTTTTAAAAACCCCTGTAAGTCGTGGGATCCGTGGAGACTGTAAAATCTTTCTGTTGTATATTCCTTTGAACAGATTCTTCTTCCAAATATATCTTCTCTTTAACGAGCCTAATTCATTGCTCTGTCTACAAAACGTGCACACACAAGGCAGAAATTTGGAGGAGGGAGGATGCCAAGCACAGTCAAGTGATGACAGGACAGCCACTACGGGGCACGTGGGGTAGCTGAGCAGAACTAAAGGGAAGGCACAACAGCCACGGCCCCATGGCGGCGCTGACACCACGTTCCTGCAGCCGGCGGACACGGCACGGGCAGTGGATGCGAAGGCACTCACCCACCCTCTCCCCGCAGCAGTCTGCTTCCTGAGGCTCAGGACTGGGGGGCCGTCATAGCAGGTGATTTTCAGCGAAGCTTCCTGGAGGAGACTTTCAGCCTCCAAGTTATGCCTTTAAACAGTACATGGTGAGAAGGGGAAACGAAAACCAGAGAGGGGCCTCCTACAATGACCATCCTGGAGGGGACTGCCCTGTCCAGGGGCTTGTGGTCCAGCCTCTCTCCCTCTGGCAGCACGCTTGCTGTATTGCCACCACAGCAGAAGGTGGCATATCCCCACGGCTCTCTTGCTCCTGACACACTAACAAATGTCTCCAGACCTCCCCACAGCTTAGGGAACACGGAGAACAGGAGACAGGATTATTAGCTAGGGCATCTCAAGGACCTGTGAGAGAGTCAGAGAGCGGCTGGTACAAACCAAGCTCTTAGGAACGGGAAGGAGAAAAGCCAGAATCTCGGTGGGGCACCCTCACAGCTCCTACCAGCAGAGCTAGCAGGAACCGGAAGGGTTGCGACTCCACGCTGTGAACTTGGGTCTAGAAAATTCCTTCTATAATGGACACGATGGTGAAATCCACCTGTCTGTTTGCAGCTGTGTGTAACCTGGCGCCGGCCATGGGGTAGATACATGGTCAGTGTTTACAAAATGCAGGAACAAATGACTGAACCACCGCTATCAAGGACCCCTTGCTCCCTTAATTAGACTAAAAGCAACAATGCGTCACTCCCGGTAAAAGAAAGCAGCCTGAATTACAGTGCTCTACCTTCCCCTCCCAAGGAGCACAACAAGGCCCCTCTTCTCCCAAGCCTGCTGGGCAAGTGGGCTGCACAACCACAGCGGCCGCTGTGTTACAGCAAGTCTTCTGCTGTCGGGACGGGGTGCACCCACTCCATTTCCCCTCCCTGGTTACGGGGAAGCAGCTGTGGGTCTCTGACCTGGTTACCGGCCTTGCTCCCAGTTACCAGCCAATGTGGCTGACTGTGCTAGCCTGTCAAATGTCTGCCTTGATACAGCAGTGCTCACAGCACAAGCAGAAGCCAAGAACGTGAAAAAGACAGGGCCCGGCAGGGGAGACGGGCAGTAGCGATCTCTATCCCATTCACTGTTTCTGAAGCACTCGGGGTCCCCCGGGTACCTGCCAATGCCCCTGGCGTGCCGCACAGAACAACGGAGGGACCCCTCTCCTGTTAGTCCGAGACGCGGCAGCTCCACGCTCCAGCAGCAGCTCGCAGACCTCCAGCTTGCCTCGTCCTGCAGCAGCCGTCAGGGCTAGAGGGAAATCACAGGGGGAGGAGTCTGTTAGCATGATGGCCACATGGTGGTGGCTAAATGTGGCCACAGACTCTCTCACACTCCTCCCACTGAGAGGAGGGGAACCATGTATCCTGCCCCCCTTGAATCTGGGTAGGCTCTGTGACACCTTTTTCTTTCTTTTTAAAAAAATTTTTTTTGGCTGCATCGGGTTTTAGTTGCGGCACGCAGAACCCTTCGTTGTGGCACGCGGACTCTTCGTTGTGGCATGCCGGCTTCTCTCTAGTTGTGGCGTGTGGGTTTTCTCTCTCTAGTTGTGGTGTGCAGGCTCCAGAGCGCATGAACTCTGTAGCTGTGGCCTGCAGCCTCCAGAGTGTGTGGGCTCTGTAGTTTGCAGCACACAGGCTCTCTAGTTGAGGCGCAAGGGCACAGTAGTTGTGGCTCATGGGCTTAGTTGCTCTGCGGCATGTGGGTTCTTAGCTCCCCGACTAGGGATTGAACCTGAGTCCCTGCGTTGGAAGGCGGATTATTTACCCCTGGACCACCAGGGAAGTCCCTCTGTGACACCTTTGACCAACAGAACAGAGCAGACATGATGCTGTGCCAGTGCGTGGGCCTAGGCCCTGAGGTGGGCAACTTCTACTTCCTTGAGCACTCCTTGGAACCAGCTGCCACGCTGTGAGGAAGCCCAAGCAACCCTGAGGTGAGACCCACTGGGAGAAGCTGTGCGTGGCCAACATCTTAGCAGACAGCCAGCAACACTGTCAACTACGTGTGTGTGTGCCATCCTGGAAAGGGATCCCCAGACACAGTCAAGCCACACCAGCTAGAGCTGTGAGAGCAGAGATGAGCCATCCCTACAAGCCTGGCCCAAATGCAGATTCAGGAGCCACTAAGTGTTTGTTTTATTGTTGTCTTTTTTCACAGTAAGAGACAACGAGAATATAGGGCCACACAAACACAAAGATCAGTATTCCTGTCAGGACCAGCTTCTTACCCTAAGTCATACATTTCAATCAACAAGAGCTAACGATTGCTGAGGCAGTGAGAGCATATCACATCGTTCCTGCCTTCAGGGAGCTTAGAATTTCTGTAAGGAGTCCAGATCCTGGGTTAAGAATGTCAACAAAGGAACAAAAGGACAATTAGACCGTGGAGGGCCTTGAGCGCCCAGGCGAACAGCCCAGTGTGATCCTGAGGCAGGGAGCTGTAGCTGGCAGCAGAGGTGCTGCGGGAAGGTCAGCAGAGAACAAAACGAGAACCGTGTGAAGGGAAAGAATGCAGGCCAAGAGTCCTCAGGACACCCTCACAGCAGTGACTGCGCCTCCCCACCCCCGAGGCATGATTCCTAATGGGGGCTGGGGAGGCAGAAAGAGGGGTTTAGTTAGAAGAGGGGATCTGCCATGGCATGAACCACTGTCTAGAGGGAAGGACAGTGGCAGGTTGCAGGGACAGCCCCAGGCCAAGACAAAGCTCTTCAGCAGAGGACAGGAAGGGGCGAGGGTGGGAGACGGAGACACCGCAGTTGGGAGTGTCTCCAACGCAGAGGGGCAACGAGAGGGTGGAGCCTGACGCTGGGGCTCGGCTCTAGTCCTAGTCGACTCCGTCTCTACATACAACCTCACACCTCAAACTTCTGGCTTCCTGAATAAAGTAAGCGTCCCTCCAAATCAGTCAGACATCTCAGTATGAAAACTAGGAAGACACAGAAATAGATCCTTCACAAAAGGTGAAGTCCAAAGGCCAACGAACTTATGAAAAGCGCCCAACCTCACTAGCAGTCCAAGTAATTGAGAAATGGGACCCACTGCTGGTTGAGGATGTACACATCCTTCCACGCAGCAACCCAGGTGTAGATGGGTGCCCGGACGTGCCCCTGGAGCACACGGGGAGGCGTGCTTGTGACAGCCTGAGCTGGAGTAGCCCAGCTGGCTGTGGACAGCCGACCACAGGTCATGGTGCAAACACTGCACGGCCACCAAATAAACACCACACGGCTAAATGCAGCTCAACGAGTCTGCCTCCCAAATTTAACAGAGATTCCAAGAAACAAAACACAGAAGAACACACAGGGCGATAGCTCAGAACTGAGAGCACTGCTGGGTGGTCTCAGGACAGGCCCACAGTGGCCCCCTTTCTGAGAGGGCAGGGCTGGCGTCGCTGGGAACCCTGGGTCTCCCGGCGTCGCTGAGACGGGGAGCCAGGGGCTCAGCAATGCAGCTTCCCTGTGTCCTCTCCAGACCCCCTCTCAGGACAGACACCATGCCTACTCCAGCTCTGTCGGTCCGGCCATGGTTTACCTCCCAGGACTGCACACACCAAAAGGATGTAAACATGACACCTGGACCTCAGCTCCCTCTCAGGGACAAATAAGTCGCAAACCGCTTTACTGATTTTCTCAAGACAGGGCAACCAGTAAAAACCACAGAAGGAGTGGAAGCTATCTTGGGTCTCGACCACGGGTGCCATTCCTATCCGTGTTACACGGACAGGCTCGTTGTCGCCCATCGCACATCTACACTTGTAAATAACTTACAAATAAATACCGTAAACAGACTAGTATTGATATCGGTTTATATACTGATGCATTGGGCGGGAGGTGGGAGTTCCCATACCCCAAATGTCTGAACATCAGTGGCCAAGTGATCCTGTCTGTCCTGTGAGCTTCTATACTAGCGGGTCCTGGTCCTGCTGCTGGGCATGCCCGTCACGGTCTGTTCCTGCCACGGTGTGAATGTTGACGATTCTGAAGTAACGTGGGCCTTGGGGCGCTTTTCTATACACTGGATGGGTCTAACACCACGTCCCTGCAAGCGGGGGCTTTGTGAGATGGAAGACCTGGACGCTGAGCCACTCCCTGGGCCTGCGGCTCCCTGGCATCCTTCCTGCAATTAGGGAGCCCCTCCTCTGCTGGGAGTGGCCTGTGGCACGGCGCGGGCACTGGCGCTGCAGGCAGGGACGTGGCCAGGCGCAGGCAGGACACCGTGGACGTAATAAGCTCAAGGCTCTTCCATCCGATGAGGCCCGAAGCAGCTGATCACCCTGACATTCCAGTCTCTTTTATTTGGTAAACAGGTTTCATCCGCATTATAAATGGGGCCTTTAAGTCAGGATTTGTTGCAGCTGCCACTGATTTTTTTTTTTTTTCAACAGCACATCAAAAATGACAGCCCGGCACTAAAAATAGGGCCCTGTGTTTGAAGGAGGTGCCAGAGGAGCCAGAAGTTAGAACAACTGACAGTCGGAGGGGAGCACCGCCCAGGCCTGGAGACAGGGCTGGATTCCCTTCTCCCTTCCAGCCCGACTGGCTGCACTTTTGGTGATTAGCCTTCTTTCGAGATGGTAAAGCAGCTATCAGCACAGGCTGGGAGTCTCACACAGCTGGCCTAAAATGGATCACACCTTCCTAACGAGGCTCTCGCTTTCACCCGGTGCCCCAAACAACAGGACCTGTGTTTTCCTTTTTCTACTCAGAGGGAATCTTTTTGGTGCCATCACTCAGGACCCCTGAGGCTAAGGGTGTATCTCAAGTTCTAGCAGCCACGAGGATTTAAGGGAGGATTTAAGGATACCATATTCGGAAACAAGCGAGGCTGAAGAATAGTCAACCAGATGCTTAAACAAACAAAACCTCGGCACAACTCTGCTCAGGAATTCCAGTTATTCTGCTGAAAAGGCTGTCCTCCAAGCAGACCACCAGCCCCTAACAAGGGTCAGCGCACTCTGCCTGGCGGGAGAAGGGGGAGGGGCCGGACAGGAGAGAGCGCCTGGCAGTAGGCAAAGCCTTGGCTTCCGGCCAACGGAATTCAGAGAGGAAGGAGAAAAAAGACTTAGTATGAAACGGGGGCTCTCAAAATCACCCTGAGCTCACGGCGCTTCTTAGGACTCAAACCGAACATAATTTCTTCTACTGCAAAATCCTCAACAAGATGGCATTTTTGTAATTAAATTCCCACAAAGGCATGTGTCATTTTCTGATTAATTTCACCTCGGCAATACTGTCTTCTGTCTTCAGAGCATGAGTACGTTTGTCGTGGCAGATGTTCATTTTAAGAAAACCCAATTGACCCTCAACAATACGAAATCCTCACTGAAAACATCAGTGAGAGATGGTTCCTGGTAAAATGGATCATTTGCAGGAATCTTTTAAGAACTAAAGTTCTCCGGGCAGAGATGTGATTTACAAAAGCTCAACAGCAACTTGCCTGGAACACAGTCATTCCATAAGCGGGGCTGTTTGTGATATTTTATGGCAGGTCTGTCCCTCAGACACACAGGGGTGTGTTCCTGGGCCAGGCCAGCAGGCCTGGGGGCTTCAACAATGGATTGTCACCCCCTCTGCCCACATCCTTCTCTCCCGACTTACAGAAAAGGGTGACAGGTCAGAGCACACGCAGGCGGTCCCTGCTTCTGGACAGTGACCTTTTCATATACCACACGGTGACGAGCCAGCCCACACCCCTAGGCCCCAGCTGAGCACATGAGCCAGAACAGCGTGTGCCCGCAGAAGCACGCTTCCTGCCGGCTGAGATGGCGGCCCGGGTCGTAGGCAGCGTGGCTCGGCTTTGCTTCCGTACGTGTGTTCGCTGGTGTGATTTATTTCCTGATATGCTGGCTCTTCCCATCTTTTATAAAAATAGGTGGAAAATGAATAGTGATAAGCAGCAGGGGTCTCATAAATGTCATCTAGTTGCGACCAAGATGGAAACCATTAGATGCGACAAAGGCAGTGAAGACAGAACCCGGGCCAGAGGAGGACAAAGGTAAAAGTGCACGTGGAACGCTGGGGAATTCTCAGCTATTTTATCTAAATGTTGAAATGTAATTTGGGATTCTATAATTTTTTAAACCTCTTTGGGAATGGCAGCCCCTCACCCTGCACTTAACAAATGACCTCTCGAGGAGTTGTCACCCCAGAGGCTAGTCAGCCTGTGTTTTGCTTTGCTGCCCTTTGGGTCTGGGCAAGGCTGCCACTCAGAGAGGCTGGTCCCAAAGGCCTCTGAATGAAAGCAGTGCGC